GCCTGTGATGCTGTCCATCCCCCTGCCAGCTCAGACCACCATCATCCCCTCTTGGTTTGACCTAAACTTTGGCCTTTCCACCTCCCACCCTCCCCCACCCCCAGCAGAGCAACGGCAAGCCAGAATGCTGGGCCCTTCATGTTTAACTTCCTCCCACTCACACATCAAAAAATAACACAAGTCTTTTTCTATTTTAATTTTCAAATGTATACATATTTCCTCCCAATAAAACGTTGGGGTTTTGCTGGGGGGCGGGTTTCTCTTCTTACATTCTTCCTGGGCTCTGCTCTTTCTTGTGTCCATATTTTTTAAACCACTTTTGGGGAACTATATCTCTTTTCTGAGCTCCTTTTTAGTGAGGTCATTGTCTGTCATTTCTCTGAGACTGAGTGGACCTATCTGACCTCTTGCTTTGTGTCCTGGAGCATTTCCTCTCTGAAGCAAATTCACCAGCCACCTTTTGCTGGCTCTCTGTTCCTCTCCTTGAGCCCGTTAGAAGAGGTGCTGGTTCGTTTTTGGCTCGAGTTTTCCTTTGAAAGAGGTCAGGGCTTCGCCAAAGTGGGTGTGTCGGGGCAGGGTGGGGGCGCATTCTGCCGCAGCGGGTGGCTTCTGGTGGGGAACAGCTCCGCCACATGCTGACACCTGAGCCCACGCGGTTCTGGGTCTCGCGTCAGGAAAGGGCGAGACCTCAAGGCCCAGCAGCCTGCGTGTTACCGCGTGGGAGCTCCGGCCCCGCTGTCCCCGCCACAGGGCTGAGTCACAGAGGGGCCCTTGGCAGCAGCCAGCACCCTCCCCACAGCCGCCGTGCTCACGGCAGAGGCAGCACGTTCCTCTTTACTGTCTTGTCCGACCCTAGAATGGATAGAGGCCGAATGGTCCCGTTATCCATGCTTAGATTTTCCTTACTTTGTCATGTCACGGATCCTGTGGTCAGGAATTCCAGCTGGTTGAGACAAGGACGGCCTGTATCTGCTCCATCATGTCTGGGGCCTCAGTTGGGAAGACATATGCTGGTGGGGTGACTCACATGGCTCGGTGCCACTGTCATCCGGAAGCTTCTTTGCCCGCGTGTCTGGAACATGAGCCAGGGTGACCCAACCAGGAGCTCAGTCCTGACTGTTGACCCAAGACCCTACAGGTAGCCTCTCCCTTTGGCCACCGGGTTCTGAGTGGGAGAGCCCCCATAGCCAGCGTTTCTAGAGACTGAGGAAGGGACTACGGGGTTCCTCCTGGCCTGGCCTCGGACGTCACACAGGGTCACTGTCACCAGGCTCTATCTGGGCCTTCCGACAGGGACAAACATTGGTTCTTGGAGGGTGAAAAAATGCTACTCTTTTCGTATATAAAACATAGATGATCTATTGGTAGATCAACTGATCAATAGAACATGAACATATACAGTATATCTTTGGCATTAAAATGTCATAGTGTGGCGGGGCGGGGTGCACTTCTAGGAAGAGAAATGAGTAAACAGGCTCCTCAGGAGGATAATTATGGAATAACATTTGGGAAGCTCTGCTCTGGGCTCCTGGCTGCAGTGGCCACAGCCCACGCAGACTCAAGGGGAGGGGACATAACCCCAACTCTTAATAAAAGGAGTGTCAAGAAATTTGCAGTCCTGTTTTTTAACTGCCACATGGAATAATATTAATCTAGTGTCTTCACATCACATTAAAGAATGAGGAGTCCGGAAGGGCTGAGCCCCCTGGCCCCAGTCATAAGGCCAGGAAACAGACTTGGATCTGCCCCGGAGCCAGCCTGGGGCTGGCCCACATGGCATCCCTGCAAGTGCATCTGTGTACTTGAAAGGTCAGTTCCCAAGCCTGCAGGGCACCATATGGCCCCAGGTGTAAATACTAGGCAGACACAACGATGTTCTGCAATTTCTCTGCTTTACTCACAGATCACAGACTGCATCCATAATTGCATGAACTTATGAATGTTTTGTTTGGGTCACAATATTTTTTAAATGGAGTTTGTTGCCTACATGTAAATATGAGCAATTTCACTTCTGGTTTCTCTTTTAAAAACAGAAATGCCAGAAAACAGCAGGTCCTGCATGGAGAGTGTTTAAGACCTTCCTGCAGCTTCCTAGGGCTTCCAGGATACCATTAAAGCACACGGATTAGAAAGGAAGAAATAAAATTGTCCCTTTGTGCAGATGACATGATTGTGTAGAAAATCTCAGGGAATCTACAAAACAAAACAAAACAAAACCCAACTGCCAGAACTAAAAAATGAGTTTAACAAGTCACAGGATAAAAGATCAATACACATATACACATACATACACACATAAACATACACATATACACATACACACACACACACACAGTCCTATTTCTATACTAGCAAGGAGCATGTAGAAACTGAATTGAAACACACAGTGCTATTCACAGCTGCTGGACAAGAAGAAGAAACACCTGGTACAAATCTAACAGAACATGTGCAGCATCCATATACTAAAATTTACAAAACTTGGGTGACCGAAGCCAGGGAATATTTAAATAAATTGTGAGAGGTACCACATTATCAATACAGGAAAGATGTCAATTATCCCAATACGATCTATAAGTTTAAAACGATTCCTATCAAAATCCCAGCAAGACTGTTTTGGTAGATAAAGACAAACTTACTCTAAAATTTATATGGAAAGGTAAAGAAACTAGAATACTTAAAAATAAGTTTGAGAAAGAATAAAGTATATCATAAGCTTCTCTCTTGCCCAGGATTTTGTTTCCTACATCGCCCTGTGTGTGTTTTATCATATGGTCCATATGTGCCTCTTTGGTTAAATTTCTCCTTCTGCAGAGTCCTGGGCCAGTGCCAGTTCTCCTCAAGGGGCCACGAGGGGCCCTGCCCTAGCAGAAGCCATGCTGGGACTTGGGTTCTGAGTGTGGCCGGCCAGCAAACACAGCGCTCAGGAGCTCAGAGCGTTTTCTAGAAACTGGCATCATGAGCTCAGGGAAGGCTTCGCATGGCGGAGACGAGAGGGCTGGTCTAGACACAAGGAGCTGAGTGGAGCCGGGGACACGTGCTTGTGACAGACTGTGTACGGCCCTGCGCACTTCCGGAAGGGAGCCATTGACAAGCATTTGAAACCAACTGAGTCCTTTCCGGGGCTGGTATGTCCCATGGTGGCTGTGGCATCATGCCATCCCAATGGGGAAGTATTTCTTCACCTCTGTGTCCTGTGTCTTTGGAAAACTATGTCTGCTTGTCCTGTGGAAAGGGCCAGCTGTTGACATGTGGCTTCAGCCAGACTTCTACTGAAGTGGACCATCCATCAGCTCTGTGCACAGGAGGGCCTCCCAGTTGGAGAATTCCAGGAGTGATGTTAGGTGCACCTACTACCTCTTCCCACTACTGCTCCAATCAGCTCCAGAGCTTTAACCTGAAGTTTCTCAGTCATAGCCGGCCCAGGCAGAGAGGTGCTGAGCCCAGCCATACACTCCCTGGTCTCAGGGACACAAGTGAGGTTGAAGCCCTCTGAGCCCAAGGATGGAGGTTGTGAGGGGCAAGTCCTCACAGAGCCTCCTGGCTGCTGGAAAGAGGTGGTTATTGCCCTGGGGAACACTGAACTGAGAAGCTTTTGTGGAAAGGAGAAGCATAAAGGGCCAGGCTTCCCAGCAACTTCCAGAGAATTCTTGCCCTTGGGAGGTAGGCATGAGGGCAAGGAGCTAAAGGATCTGCGACAGAGAAAGGAGGACCCAGAGCATGAACCCAGGAGACTCATCCTTCTTGCACCTGAGGACTCAGAGCAAGTGTCCTCTAAGACCCACGATTCTCCCTCCAGACACTGGAACAATACCCTCAAAAAGACCTGGGTCCCTCCAGAATCCAGGCACTGCTGCCCCCCCTGCCCTGGAGTCCAGAGTCTGAAGGTCTCTCTTGTCCAGTCTGAAGGGCTACATTCTTGGACAGGGCATTCCTGGGGATAGTGTACTACATTGTGGATTATCCTCATTAGGCTTATTTCCTCCACAGCCCCTCTGAGGCCTGTTCACCCAGAGGACAGCACCCACCAATGTCAAGAACAGGGGAAGCTTCAGGAAGACCAGGAACAAGAAGTGGACACTGCTGAGCAAGGACCTGTGGGGGGACATAGGGACAGGAAATGACTAGCTCCTCAGGGGGACGCCCAGGACCCTTGTCTCCCAACCAGTCCCTGTGCCCTGACTCTAGAGCCCTCATAACTCAGGATCAAACCTGGAAAGGACACTTGCCCGGGCAGCCCCTCTCTGGGACCCCATCACCTCCCCTCCCTTGACCATGAACTGCCCCCGGGAATCCTGTTAAGGAGAGGTGATGGGGCAAAGAGAAGAGGGGCCCAGCAGTGCCTGCTTTCCAGAAGCTTCCTCTCTGTCTTTTCCTCTCACATTTCTCCTTATCAACTGACTTCTTGAAAGCCACCCCCATTCTCACTTTAAAGCCCTGACCCTTGGGGCGGCTGGGTGGCTCAGTCGTTAAGCGGCTGCCTTCGGCTCAGCTCATGATGCCAGGGTCCTGGGATCGAGCCCCGCATCGGGCTCCCTGCTCAGCAGGAAGCCTGCTTCTCCCTCTCCCACTCCCCCTGCTTGTGTTCCCTCTCTCGCTGTGTCTCTGTCAAATAAATAAATTATTAAAAAAAATAATAATAAATAAAGCCCTGACCCTTATCCTCGGCCCTGCAGGGCCAGACAACAACATGGCAGCCCTTTCTGGGGATCTTGGGAGGAGGAAAACAGCCTGGAGCCAGCCCATCTCTCTCTGTACCCCACAACTAGCTCCTGGATCTCTGGTACAGCAAAGACCTTTGTAGGTAAGCCCAAGTTAGGGCCACAGAACCAGAAGCCAGAGTCCAGAACCAGGTGGGGAAGGGGAGGGGGAGGGGTGGGCATGGGAGGAGCTGCATGTTCACCTGAACCAGCCTCCTGTTCCCCTGCAGCTGCCCCATGGGAGAAAGCATTCCCAAAACAAGTGATACTTTCCACGTGGAATCCCCATGCAGCCATGGAGAATGTAAAAATCAGGACCAGAACAAGAAGAAAACCCAACAGTGAGGTAAAAAGGTCTTGGTGTGTTGCCAACCCCCACCACAAGGTCCCATAAGACTGCCAAACCCCCTCTTCTGTGGGCTCTAGGCTGTGGGCCCTTACCCTGAGCAGTAGGTCAGCACCTCCTCGGTGCTGGGGTTCTGTTTGCTGTTCAGCCCCAGAAAGGCAGCAGGTACAGCTTGACATGTGGTCCTCTCTGTTGTTTTATTTGGTGCTGGAGACAAATCACACGTCAGGTGCTTGCTCTCTCCCCAGCCATGCACTAAGTGCCCAGTTGGACCCAATGTTACACACGATTGCCCACTTGCAGAAGGGACTTGAGAGATGCTCTGAAGCTAGTCCCAGGTCACTTCCAGGATGGAGTGAGCCTCTCAGGGACCAAATGAGACACTTCCACAACTGGCCATACGAGCCACCTCTAATAAGTGCCAGATCTTTCTTTCCATCCCAAGTCTGACTCTGCCTAGGGTGAGAGCAGGGGTCTCTCACAGGCTTCTCCAGCCAAGGAGGAGCCCCAGAGGGAAGAGGAACAGGGGTTAAGTCTGGAAAAGATGACTCCACCTATAGCCCAGAAGCCTGAAAGAGACTGTGGGAGGGGGCTCACAGCACCCTTCAGACGGAAACTAAGGCCACTTTAACTCCCTGCTAGGCAGGAGCTAAATCTCAGGTGTCCAGGCTATTGGTGTAACCTGTGTCTCTGCCCCAACCTCATGACTGCCCAAAAAAAAAGCAAGCCTCCCAGAGGCTTAGCCCTCCCAGTGCTCCCAGAACAGGCTCTGTTTCATCTGACCACTGTCCTTGATGTCTTTGCCATTGGGGATTCATTGATGGATGTGGCACCATCCCTGCCCTCACACAGGGCAGAGGCATCTAAGTAGATGGATTCACGTCAGTAGAGAGTGGACACAGGGGCAGAACTCCATCAGATACAGCAAGAGCACAGAGGACTCAGACCTCAGCTACCATCCAGCCGAGAAGAAAGGTGAGAAATGAGGAATGGTGACACCTAGAGGAGGCCACAGGGAGGACATGAGAGAACCCAGCGTTTTTCTAGACTGGGGTGAAGAGAGAGTGTGGATAATTGATGGAGGAAGATACAGATGAGCAAGGAGGGAATTTGGTTCAAGGGGATGGGAAGGCAAGGAGCTCCAGGGTGAGGAGCCAGCCTCAAGATGATTGTTCTTGAACAGCTGGAGGGAAACCACCCTCAACCTAGAAGGGAAAGGGGGAAGAATGAGTTATGTGTTGCAGAAGTTTGTAGGAGGAGAAGAAAAGAAATTGAGAGAGTTCACGTCTGATATCCCATGTGCCCTTGGTAAGGTAGAAGAATGGTAGAGTCATATTAGAAACCATGAACTTGTACTGACACCCATAGGCGCCGTCTGTGACTTCTCCAGCACTACTGCAGCAGAGAGATTTTAGGTAGGAGACCAATTTGCCCTAGCTTGCCTGGGATGTTATCCAGTTTTAGCATGGAAAGCCCCGCATCCCAAGAAACTTCTCAGTCCTACACAAACCCCAATGATTGCTCACTCTAATTTTAAGATGGATCCAGGGATGAGGGTTTTGAGAGGTGGGTAGGGAAATGGTGCATGGTAAGTGAAGAAAACATAGTCTTCCATGAGAGTTGGGCCTGGCTTAGGAAGGAAGTGAGATCAGGGCAGGGGAGGGGTAGGCAATAAATGGGGAGAGAATGGAGAGAGGGGTCCAAGGACTGGAAGCATATGTGAGATTGAGAATAGGGCCAGCAGGGGTGAGGGTGAGGGAAGGCTGATGCACAGAAAATTGTCTGAAAGTACAATGCCTGGACATGGACCACTTTGGGGTGACAGCAAGATGTGCAATGTTGCCATGGAGTGGGGTTCTGGAGAGTGGAAATGCAGGCCACTGCAGTTGAGAAGGTCCTGGAAGCTGAGACAAGTTACTTATTAAAAACTCCCAAGACGATGACAGGGATTAGGGATGTCGGGGAGTAACCTAGAAGCCAATGGAAGGCCCATGCCAAGGAGAAGAAGGGGATGCATGTGGCCATGTGACACAAATGTTAAAGGAAACAGGTGGGACAATAATAGGTTGGAAGTTGTGATAGGAGCTGGGAGAATTTGGACATAGCTTCACCATCCTATAGCACATGGGGGTAGAAGAGAGAGCAGCTTCCACTCAAGACTATTTTTTGAAATGAGAGGAGTGAGGCCAATTTCAGGACAGTATAGTAGAGAGAATATTCTGTGAGTAAGCTGAAGATGTATGTATGAAGAGTTTATTTTCTTTGGTACAGGTTTCCAAAGAGCATGGTGGAAATAGTTTTGGTCCAGCAGGGAGGGGCCTCCCAGGCAATGGAATGAGGCTCAGGCCCTGTGAGAGTGAGGGTACCTTCAGCTACACACCCCCATCCATGCCAAGGCTGAGAAGTCAGCTGCCTCTCACCCTGCCCTCATCATAGGCTCTTCCCAACACCACTGGGACGGAGGACTAGACAAGACCCAGAGACAAGACCCATCAGCTTCGCTGCTGGAGTGAGAGAATTTCTTACCTGCAGAAACAGACACGTTAACCTGGACTAAAGGGTCAGGTAACCATGTTCTCTGAATTCCACACCAGTAGGATCCAGCATCATCTGTAGTAAGGTTCTCCATGGTCACTATAAAGGTGAAGTTATCAGCATGGTCTCTGATAGACACACGCCCACTCCTCTCTTCTTTCTCTTCTCCCTTGGTCTCCACAATCTTCTCACATGTTATGCCGTACTCTCCTCGGCACCAGTATTTGTTATGCCTCTGGTAACCCTCCTCATACTGACACGGCACACTCAGAGAGCCACCCAAGGTGCCCGTCACAGAGCTGGGGCCCGTCAGGGACAAAGAGCCTGGAAAATACAAGCCACATCCCAGGACTCCATCTCAATAGCCCCTACAACAGCTGTCTGCCTGAAGACCAAGGGGAAAGTTGCCAGGGAGGTGTGGACGGTTCCGGGCTCAGGGATGGGGGCCTGGAGGGACATCTGAGCTTAGAACCTAAGCCAGAGGGTCTGGAGACTATGGCCAACAAGAGAGGTAGAGACCTGTGCCCTGTAAGCCCAGAAACACTGAGTAACCACACAAAGATCCTGCCCTTTGGGGACAGGGAGAATCAGAACAAAGCTGGAGAAGGAGCAGAGTGAGCTAGCTGTCCTGCCCTGTCTTTAGCCTTTGCAGGCATGAGATTCAGTGACATATAAAAACACTTCACTTTGGAGTGAGGCTCTGCATGCAGGTTTTCTGCAACTCAAACTTTTTTTTAAATTTTTTTATTGTTACGTTGATCACCATACATTACATCATTAG